TAATTGCTGCAGCAGCAAGGTAGCTAAACAGAAAGTCAGCAACATTCGTTCCAATTTTTTCTTGAAAAACCATTACTGTTTCACTTTTGTTGCGTTACACTTCACTGGTTGTGGCGAGGGCATGTGCTATAGTGCACTCGTTACCCGAGCCCACGCGTAGGCGTGGAAGCGAGGGTAAAGCAGTCGTCCTGTCTGTGTGTGTGTGTTCGCTTGACCTCCACTTTTGAGCTGACACTGCTTTTTTGTCTAGTCCTAAAGAGTCTTATAATCAACACTAGCTCTAGAAAAAGTTATTCTCCGTCTTGGGAATGCTATATTTTTCTTTTCCGTGGAAAAAGAAGCTGGCAAAGTCGCCAAACGTAGGTCGGTTCCCCGACAACTTTTTCATAGTGTGAGCAAAAGAGCAACTGGGCAGATAAAACAATAAAGCAAAGCCTCATCTTTCATTAATATGAGAGGGATTGCTCAAATCATCTTCGTTTTAAAGATATGGTAGCCCAAAAACTCATACTTTTGTGAGTTTACACGAGGCTCTCTTCTCCCGAAGTAGCGGCTAGAGTCTTTAAACATCAGGGGCTCAATAGACGTTTGTATGCAACAAATAGAGCCTAACAAATGTATGCTAAACTGTTTAAAAGTCGAGAAAAACTAAAGCTTTCTTCACCACTTAGAGCCATGTGCCACCATTAGACTACTGTGTGTGCGGGTGGAGCATGGCTTGATTGAGCCACACTTCATTGCAGCCACACCTTTACATTGCTGCAGCAGTGCAGCAAGCATGCTGGAGCTTCTTCTTTGTCTAAAAAAACAAAAAATTCACCGTCTCAAAACATTCACTAAGTTTTTACATGCTGAAGCTTCTTTTCTGTGTCAAAACTTTCACTAATTATTTTTCTGTTAATTTATTAAAATTGTTACACACAGACTGTGGCGAGGGTATGCACTTTAGTGCTCTCATTCATCCAGAACTGATACTCCATGTGTCCAGCATTGGTAGCATGATCTCCCTAACAAACTCAGGATCATAAAATAAAATTAAAAAAACACAAAAAATAAATTAATAAAAATAATGAATAAATAAAAAATTAAAATAAAAAGTTTTAAATAATAAAAAATATAAATTAAAAATTTTTTTAAATAAACATAGAATAAATAAAAATAAAATTATAATAATACAAAAAATTGTAAAAATAAACTAAGAACTGGATTAATTTATTATTTTAATTTTAGTTTTAAAATGTCAATCACTTGTTTATTTGCTCTTTGCGTTTCATTCTCCATCAGTAGCAGTTGATGCCGATACATACAGCAAGAGGTTAGGCCTCTTCTTGATCTCCATGTACTGATCAAACTTGTCCTGAGAACTAATGCAAACTACTTCACCAGAGTCGCCCTGTCTGTATGCCATATTGAAATCCTCAATGTTCTCAAAGTTACCTTCCATCTTAACTTTACTTAACAAGGTCTGTAGTGAGACTGGCTTAGGACAAGATATTCTTAGCAACTGGCCTTGGCATCTTCCTTGAATATCAATGTCAAATGTCTCATTTGTAAGAGCATAGCTTCCTGCCCTTGAGTGATGGACTATTGTTGGCTCATCTCCTCCTTGCATTTGCTTTGCATCAACTTTATAAGAGAAAGGGAGTCCCTCTGTGTGTGTCTTGGAGGTATTTGGGTTCTCAATAGGCTCCGGTGAGGACCTGGAAGAGGATTTATCAAGAGGCACGTCCTTACCAGATTCAGATCCAGCATAAGACATCATGGAAGACCTTGGATCAGGTGAGTGATCATTTGGTGTGTAGCTTGTCTCAAAAGGTTTCAAAGTCTCACAAGTGTCATCAATAGGGACACTCGGACTGCTCTCTGATTCATCAGTAGTAGTCGTAGTGAGATCTTTGACAATGTGTGTGTCATCTTTGAATTGAAGTTTCTTGATCATCCTAGCCACAGTCTTGTGATTATCAAGGTATCCAGGGCTCTCCTCTTCTATTACCTTCATTTGACGTAGTGTTGCTCCACTGTATGCCTCCCACAGTATCATTACTCCAGAGTTATCAAGAGACTGGCTCTTATCCTCTTCAGTTTGAGGGAAGTCATCAAGTGGGTATCCCTCCAGTGGTGATTGGAAACCTTTGGCTCCACTCACCACCATACACTTTTCCTTCTGACAGGGTCCTTCGCAGGGTACCGTAATGAGGAACCTAAGGTGCTGAGTGTAAGGATGGAAGTGCATTATGAGCTCCTGTTCATGAAATAGGAGGATGTGTCCAGTTGCCATCCCAACCCACACCACGTCCAAGGCAGGCGTCATGCAGGTCATAATGGCATCATACGCTGACTCGTCTCCAATCCCAATCTGTTTCATTAGTACCTCCCTCACATCAATGTCGTACAGATGCTCTTCGTTCTGAGTGTCCCAGGCTGATAGTGTAGTGCCGCCCAAGTGAGCACTCCAGGCAATATCATTCTTTTCTTGAGAGGATAGAGCAAGGTGTCCAACAAAGGCGTCCATTTTCTTGTTCCTCTTCCTAGAGTGCTCCAGAGTGAGTGTCATAA